TCTAGTAAATCATCTATTTGTTTTCTTTTTTTTTCTTTTTTCACTACCAGACAAATGTTTTTTAGGAAACATTATATAACAATGCAACTAATGTAGAAAAGAACAATAACACCTGTAAATGGGAAGATCCTCGATCGAAGTATTTATACGCCAAATTCGCAACACCGTAATGATTGAACTTAGAAGGAAGATGAAGTATATGCATATCCACGTTTGACATTTCATATCCAAAATTTATGAAACAAAAAAAGAGAATAAGTTTATCTATAATTTAGAAATATATAAAAATAAAAATAAAAAGAATTTGGAAACACGAACTTACTTAGGATTTTAAAAATATCTTCAATGACCACAATTGATGATAAGTAATTGTGTTTGTGAATTGTGAGAAATTTGAGAAATTGAAATTTGAGAACAATAAGAAATAAATTGATTTTACTTCAATGTTCTCCTATCATTTATAGGAAATAAAAAAAAGTAACCGTTAGCCCTCTTGGCTATTGGCCTCTTGCCTTAACGTTGAACATCCAACAACTTGCATTAATTTACACTAATATTTATGAGTCATTTGGCATTAATGTAGAAATAGTATATTAATATTTGTTATGGGCCCTTGACTCTTGTGTTAACGTTTATAAAATGAGAACATTCAAAAATTTTAAATTCAACTTGCATTAATTTATACTAATATTTATGAGTTATCTTGCATTAGAAATAATATATTAATATTTATGGTAACCGGGCCCTCATGATCATGATGAGACATCATTTAAAATTGAACATTAATATTTATGGGGCCTTTGCATTAATATAAAAAATAATATATTAATATATATGAGTCTTGCTTTTAATTTAATTTATTAAAATATAATAAATTAATATAAATCAAAATTATGGGCCCTGGGCGGGTGCCCCTCTTGCCCCTGTCCAGAGCCGGCCCTGAGCAGAAGATCTTTTGAGCGGAAGATCACTTGTGCGGAGCGAAAGTTCGCTTGAGCAGAGGATATGGTAATGACTCTGGAGGTATAAAATAAGTCACGCTATACAATTGAATTGGTAGTAGGATTTGTTGAAACTTATATAAACAGTCTTCTTAAACCATATTCATCATCTCTTAGGTGTGTGAGAATATCATATGTCTATCTCCCAATATATAACAACAACCGTTCACCTTTTTCTATCACCATAACAAAAACCAAAATTTTGGAAGGAAAATCTTTCTAGCTATAGAAAATTTTCCCAACCATGAAACTGGATCTAATTTATAAACACCTTTCAAACCTTCGTATTCTTTCTATGTGGGATGAAAATGTTTTAAGCACCAATTTTTTCCTAACATTTGCATATAACTTCCATTTTATATTAATTTCTCATTCATCATTTAACTATTCTGAACCTATTATACATCGTATCACAAAGGTAGTATGAAATAAAATATAAAACTATAATTTTATTATTCAAACCTCAACTCCTTTGAAAGAAGATTTTCAAATCCAAAGGTAAGCCTTATGTACCTGATTTTCATCAAATTTTATAATGTACAGATAAAAATTCTTCCTCTCAGGATGTTATATTTTGGTGAATCATGTCTACTTGAGGCTTTATAGTGCGTTTGACTTCAAGATGTAAGTGTAGGTATTGCGGGGCTCAGAAAATGATGAAGAATCTCCCCTTTTACTATGAGAAATTGCTGTAGAATTCCATGTACCATATTCGATATTATTCCTTATTCTAAATACCATATATGAGCAAATATATGTTCTACATTTATATACCACATCACCCTCTTATTACCAAATAATGAAGCAGCATCTCTGTGATGCTAAACATGATATGGTCATTGGTTTATCATACGAATTTATATCGTCTATGCAATGCAAGCCAGGATTCACATAAAGCTGGGCACCAAGGATGATGAGCAAACCGCAAAATTCCACGGAAAGACGCTGATATCATTAGCAGTGTAGGAAAGTCTTTCTTGCATGTTTGGATCATTGTATTCATAGGCATCTGGGTGGAATGATGATGCAAATGCGTATATTGACGATGATGATGCCGAGTTATCTTCCACTATTCCAGCCTCGGAATCGGCTTCGGAATCCTTTATGTTGGACTCAGATTCCTCACATAGCAAAGGCAATGATACGGGAGGCGATGATTTGGTAACTTTTGTTGGGGTGACTCGGTTCCTATGGTCCCCACCTGAAATTCTTTTGAAATATCTCGTCTGTGCTTCAATCTTGATCTTCAAATTCCTTCGAACCTTGAGATATAAATTAAGAAAGTGTTAAACGAAGAGGGTAATCTAAAAGGTTTGCTCTTATGCATGGTGATAGGCAAATACCTCGAGTTTATCATCCCCTTGTTTTCTTTGTGCTTCCATATGCAATAACAATGCTTCATTAAGCTGTGCAGCTCTTTAACCAAAGCAAGGACAGGGCAAGCAAATAATCAGAGTGAATATATACATATAATGATACAAATATTTAAGGATTCTCCCCAGAAAAAGAAACGATAACTCACGATGTTGTACCAAAATTAGGCAGTATTTCTGAAATATTTCTCCTCTCAAACTTGCATTCTGCGGTTAAAAGAACAACATGATATCAAATTTCTATGGATTAGTTGCTTCATTTCCTAACATCAATGTTAATGAAAGAGAAAGACTAAGGTTCATTGAACGTACTAGTATTTGTTTCTGGAACAAACTTTAACATCCTGTCAAGTGACTTTTGACATGGTAAATGGTAAGACCATCAACGCCCATAGCCTTGAGAATTCCCTTAGGCGTGGCCCCTGACAAGAACAACTCACATAAACATCATCCACCACAAAACCAAAGAGAGGGAATAGATAAAATGACTTACTATCTGGACCTCCTAGCTGGTTAACAGCTTCTTCGAATCGATCATGGAGTTCTTGAGTCCATCTCAGGCGTTCCTTGGAACCATCAGAGTGACTTGGACGACGCATTGTGGAGACAGTGGCTCGATTGTGTTGGGAGGTAGGAGGGAGACAGAAAACAGTTGGGAACCAAAGAAAGTATATATGAAGGTAGCGATAAGCACTATGAATAGATTGATAGGATATTGGGATTAATGGGTGCCTTAATATGTCTTTTAGCTGTCGCATTTCACAGAGGTTCCTTGTTTGAACTCTTATGGCGAGAATCTCCATGTTCCAGAAAAGGAAGGAGATTGATTACTTACTATTTTACATTAACAAGAAGATTGAAGATCCCCTCGATTCAACCCTCCCACCCCAAGATATGAACAATTCTAGTTAATTTAAATTTAAACTTGTTTCAATTTAATTTAATTATAAAAGTCAACTAATTTGCTGGTGTAAAATTCACTGTTCGGGGGTTTAGCTTATAGGTTTACTATAGTAATTATTTTATTTAAAATAACATCACAAACAAAATAAAGCCTCCCTTAGAGATGGTGGTCCTAGGGATGGCAAACAGGTACAGTTTCGTGGATTCCGCACCGTATCCGCTCCAATTGGGGCGGGGATGAGTATAATTTTAGCGGGTAGTGGGCGGGTGTGGATTTAGAAAGTGATACCCGTCGCGGGTGGTGGTTGGGGGTGGGTTTGAGACATTACCCCGCCCCGCATCCGCCCGCCCCACATCCGCCCGCCCAGCTAAATATCCATTAAATTTTGGACCATTATGAATTTAGGTGTAATTTTAGAGACTAATTTATAAATTCTAATATTATATAAGATATAACATGTAATTTATCCAACTCTCCAACAAATAGCAAAGGATATTTTGGGCATTCCTGTCTCCACTGTCCCATCAAAATCTGCATTCAGTATAGGTGGAAGAGTAATTGGTCCTTATCGTAGTCGACTACTTCCGGAGACGATTGAAGCATTAATGTATGCTCAAAATTGGCTTTGGGCCGATATTAAAGGTAATATTATTATTTAGTTTATATTAATTGTCAAATTGTGCTTAATTATCTTATTAAAGTTTAGTTACTAACTTATATTAGTTTTACTTTCTATTATATATGTAGGTAGTAGTGAATTTAAATTGAAGCACTCTCAGTTGGAGGAAATAGAGAATGATGATTGTAATACTGGAGTATTATATATCACAAATATTGCCTGAAATTTTTTTAATGTTGTGCCAAAGAACAAAAACATTATGTGTTTGTCATTTATGTTTCTAGACTTTAATTATGTCATTTATTATAGTGTTTTATGTATTTTAATATATATATTAACACTTAACTTAGATAATCCTTGGATTATTTTATTATGTTTCTTAATGGACATGTTTTTTTTATGTTTGTTGTTTATGTATAACTTAAGTTTGCTGTCAGGCGGGTCTAGACGGGTACGTCACTAGTGGGTAGTGGGTGTGGAGATGGATTTGAAAATATACCCGCTTGGGCGGGTGTAGATTTGAAAATTTGTACCCATCATGGGTGGTGAGCGAGTGGTAGATTGAAAAATATTAGGTAGGTATGGGGATGAGAGAGGGGGTATCCGCACCCGACCCGCCCGTTTGCCATCCCTAGGTGGTCCGTTGATGGCAATTTGACCAAATGATATATGCACACATGTTCCCAAACTCAAAACAAGGGTATGCCAATCACCAAATCATACATGCTTCCCCTTTAACTGCATATTCAGAATTCAGATTTCTATTTTGCATATGTTGCACCTGAAACTCCATCAGCTAAAAGAAGAAGACGAACCATTCAACTCTTTCCACCGTTCACTTTACGCGCTTAGTCTGCAGTGAAACACGATTCATCATCGACCTGGTTTCAACTGTAATGCATAACTTATTGCTTTCCTTGTTCATAGATAAAGCTGGCCCCAATTTGAGCCGCTTCTTACCATCCAATTCACTTTCTCCATAACAAAAGAGTGGTAAAGTACACTCAACAAATGACCAAAAGACTTGCCAAAAGTGAAATAAGGAAGATTTGAGCCAAATTATACAAAGGCCACTCAACAGCAAGATTTAAAGGGGAAAAACATCAACTGAAAACGTGCAAAAATAATCTACCAACACCTAGATAACCGTTATGATATCCCAGTTCTGAACACATGAACTTCCTTTTCAATAATAAAAGTAAAAACAAATGTAAACACACACAAGTTGGCTGATGGTAGTGAGGGCTACCACTGACTATTAGGGAGATGATATTAACCGCTTCAGGCCAGTTTTCTGTTCCACTGTAAGCTTTGTGGGGAACTTGATGTTGAATTTGATTTTCAAATTTCCTTTCTTGGAAGGTTCCTTAGGAATGGGCATCCCCTCCCCTTTAACAACTTCCTCATAGGTTGGACTGATGATGTTGTTAATTGGGACAGTCAGACTCCGTCCATCTAGGGTTGTCAGCTGTGCTGTATATCCAGTTAGGGCTTCAACTAGAGAGATCTTCTGAGTAACAATAAGGTCATTGCCATCCCTCTTGAATAGACTGTGAGGCTTCTCATCAATGATGAAAACAAGGTCAGAAGGAATAACTCCTCGCTGCTCATTTCCCTTTTCTGGAAAAGTGATTTTTGTACCTTTTTTCCACCCAGGCTTAATCTCAATAGTGAGAATTTCCTCCACTGTAGTAGATCTTCTGTAACAGGAAACAAAATCACAGTTTTAAAGTAAATGAAAAAATCGACACTTTCCTGAAACAATGGCATTATTACCAAATAAATATGGTTAAAAATTGGAACTTCACCCACCATAGTTTGACCGAGTCTTATAATAAAATACCTAGAAGCAATGTTGTCAAGGGTGCAAAGCGCACACTAATTGTTTAAACGGTTAAACCCTTATATTGCCTTAAGGCACAAGGCGCAAAAAGGGCGCTAGCCCTTTTGTAATATATATAAAGCTTAATAAACTCTAATCTATTGTCGAGCTCATCAACAGAACATGCAATTTTTTATTGGTCAATATGCATTATTGCCTTAAATCCCTCATGGTCAATGTTTTCTGTTGAATGCTCAAATATTACCGAGTATAGAGTATGATATTATATGTCTTACAAATAAAGGCATATCAAATGAAAAAAAGAAATTGAAGAGAGATTCAATCAGGCAAAAGGCCATTTTATGCCAATCGCCTTACAAGAAAGCTATGCACACTAGGGTGAGCTTGAAAAAATGGGCCTGACCTGAAAGGGTCTGAGGCTCTTTTGTTGAATAATGCTAAGGTGAAGGCGCATCTAGGTGCAGGAGCATCTAGGCGCACACCATGACAGCATTGTTCAGGAGAAAGTTGACAGTCTCACTGTTTTAAACTAATTAGCACTCGGTAACATGCAAACTTTCAGATTTCTAAAGTTTAGTTCACATGGTAAATTAAACTTATATACATTTGGGTCTAGGAAATTCCATCAGGTCTACTATCAAAGAGACATCCGATCGATAGATGATCTGGTAGAACTGAAGCAAAATGGCGAGGAAGGAGCACCAAGATAGCAGGAAACAATCATGATAACCAAAACAGAGAACATCTTTTCAGCTCTAGACTGGCATGCAAAAGCGGCTATCATTAAAGAAACATCCAGTCATTTCAAATGATTAAAGTCCATTTATCCTAGCAATAATAAAGTAACTTTTGGCAGGAAAAAAAGTCAAACTTGGCAGCTTCTGTAAATGTCCTTTGCAACCTAAACTCATATGCAAGCACCTTGTAAATGTTAACTGTTTTTTTCAGTTATGCCTAAAAACCTTTCATGCCATTCAATCACTGATGTTTTCACTAATTACAAGCAACATTCAAAGTTAATACAAATTGAATTTAGCTCTACAGCTTGAATCCAGCTGAAAATTTAGTATCCACGAAAAAACTAAAGCATATTGAAATTTGAAAAAGAAAAGCTCTAATCCCTAAAGAAAGGGGTTACCCGCTAGGATCAGAAACATCCCTAGAAATCTTCATCTTCTTGGTAGTCCCTTTATACAAATCCTCCAAGCTGCAAGCCAATGTTCGTTCAATTGGGGGACCTTTTCGGGGAATTGAACCATCTCCATGTCCATGTCCATGTCCATGTCCACCCCTAAATGAACCGAATATATCTTCCCCAAACATGCCCCTGGGGAATCCTGATGCCCCCGCACGTGACCCACCCATATCCCCAAACGGGCTCGAAAACCCGAAAAACTCCGAGAAAATATCGTCGGGGCTCCGAGTATTGAAGCGGAACATCGTCGGACCCCCATCTGCCCCGCCTGGAAAACCCCCCGCCCCGGGAGGTGGCACCTGGCCTTTTAACCCTTCTTCTCCATACTGATCATAAACTGCTCGCTTTTGGGGATCACTCAAAACCTAAAATCAATCGAATATTTAAATTCGTTTAACCAAAAATAAAGAGAGAAAGAAGAAGGCAACAAAAATGTAAATAAAAAAGAAAGTCTTCTACATCGTAAGCTTCCGAGATTTGCTTAAATTTGGCTTCAGCTTCTTTCTTGTTATTGGGATTCTTATCGGGATGCCACTTCATAGCCAGTTTGCGATAAGCTTTCTTCAAATCTTCATCTTTTGCATTCCGATCGACCTGAAGAATCTTGTAATAATCAACACCCATTCTTCACTTTTTCTCCTCTTCTCTCTTCTTCCCCCTGCTATAGATTTCCTTTTACTTTTCTTCCTTCTGGGTTTCGCATCGTTTTGTAACCTCACCAAAGATAAGAAAGCCATTGCTCCGAATGGGACAGGCAAAGCTTGGTTAACCGCCTTAGGCCCATTATCAAACTATTGCAGGCTTAACTTTTCTATGCTTTCATGGCCCAATGTGACCAACAGTTTTTGTGGGTCAATTTCATAATAACACAAACCCCCGAGGGGCCAATGTTAAAAAACAAATAATCTCTTTCCAGTCCAGACAAAGTCTATTTTCAGTCCCTCAACTATATTGAATTTTTTTTATCTTTTTACTTTTATTTCATATAATTTAGTCATATTCTAATTGAGTCTTCTAACTATCAATATCGTTTTAATTAAGTATTTTCATCAACTTAACAATTCATTTGAGTATTAAATAACAATTTGTATATGGCGTAGATATATTTTAAATACATGAATCAAATTATAAATATTGGGAAAATATTGTACAATTTGATTTTGTAATCACCACATACTATTAAAAAAGAAATAATTAGAATATTTTGAAATTTGAGACCAGTCTAAAATTTGAGCCATAAATTGAGGACTTCTAATGCAATTAATTCAAATTTGGAAGATAACGTCGTGGGCTCCAACATGCGAAAACAAAGAAAAACAAGTGAACAAGCGGAGCCGCCTGATTTTTTTAGGATAGGAAAAAAAATGGCAGTTCAAGTGAACCACTTCCGGTCATCGTTGCTGAAGCAACCGAAGCCACCTTTCTTCACATCCTCTAAAACCAGAACCTTTAGGCTCAACACCGCGGCTTCAAGCAGTATCCAACAGCTAATACAGTCGGGTGAGGTGACGCCTATACCGCCAAAGGACGCAGCAACAGCCCTGAACTCCGATGGCTTCAAGTTGCTGGACATTAGACCACAGTGGGAGCGAGAAAAGGCATATGTTAAAGGGTCACTCCATGTGCCACTCTTCGTCAAGGACATGGACAATAGCCCCATCACTCTTTTGAAGAAATGGGTTCATTTTGGCTACATTGGCTTGTGGACTGGCCAAAACTTTACTATGATTAATCCTAATTTCGTCCAAGAGGTTGATACCGCTGTCTCCGAAGACAAGGATGCTAAGCTGCTCGTAGCATGCGGCGAAGGCCTGAGGTAAAAGCTTCATGCCACCTCCTCCTCCTTCTTCTTCTTCTTCTTTTTGGGATGGTGAATTGATGATATTCTTGTACTTAGGTCTATGATGGCGACTTCGAAGCTATACGACGGAGGATATAAGAACTTGGGGTGGTTGGCAGGCGGATTCAATCGTTCTGCAGATAGTGATTTCCCAGAAGTGGAAGGGCCTGAAAAGTTGCAGTACGCTACGATTGGAGGTGTTTCGTATTACTTTCTGAAATTGCTCCTCCTCTTGCAAGCTGTGGGCAAAGAGTAATTGGATTGCTAGCTGGGACTGTACAATTGGGGGGTTGTGTCGTATTACTTTCTGTTGTTTTCATTTGGGTAGAATGAAATTGAGTTAGGCATTTCCTACTTTTAGCTCATATGAACAGGCTGATATTTAGCAATGCCCCCCCCCCCCAGGGTGTCTAGGAGCCTTTTTTCCCGCTTAATTACTGTTGATTCTCGAGTTCTTACGAATTCGTTTTGTCTAGGGTTTGTGGTGACTCCAATTTCATGGATTCGAAATAATCCAGTTTTCAAATTAACGTGGAGTAAAATTCTTGATAATTAAATTTATTTTCTTTAAAAATATAGAAGGAATCTTATTAAACTTTAATATCACAAGAGATAAGTATATTTTAAAGATATAATCTTTATAACTATCATATAAAAAAATAATTTCATAAGAATATTAAATGAATTTATATGAATAAAATCTTAATTAACAATTTGCATATGAAACAATGACTTCATTTTTATCATTTGGATGAAGGTGTGTGCTTAAAAAATCATTTAACTATTTGTAAATAAATTATCTTAGATTTTAAAACCATAAAAGTTAAATATGATTAGGAGATTTAAATTAATTATTTTTGTTTGTTACCTCCTTACTCTCGTTCTTGATAAGATATATGATTTTATGTACTTATATGATAAGATGAAATATATCATTACTGGATTCAACTATCATAAAGAAAGACTTTATTCGTGACGTGTTTATTAAGTGCTATTGACTGCATAATAGAAACTTGAAGGGATGCCACAAATCATAAGGGAAAATAATAAGAGAAATTTGATAAGTTGACGTAGTAGTAGTGAAAGACTACGACGATGATGCACTTCTAGTTGCTTCTATTGAAGACTTTATAAGAAGCGAAGAGTACATTTTTATTGTAGTAGCGGTTTTCATATGAATCCCAATCGAGACTGATGTATAAAGTTTGACTCTTCGTATGCTATTCTTTGAGGGGAAAATAATTCTTGTAATGTCACCAGTATTGACACAATTAAGATATAAAATTATTTGATTCAAAATACCCAAGTCAATGTGAAGCTATAAAAATTTCAAAAGTTTTCTAATTATGACAAAAGTATAGAGAAATGTTATCAAATTTTATGTTCTACATGGTTAAATTGTTTTAGCCAATGCAACTATTAGTTTCTCGTATCAGATAAAAATATATTTTCTATTTAATAAGACAATAACAATTCTAAAAAGTATAATAGAGTTTAATTTTATATGCAAAACAAATTTAAGAAGCAAAAGAGAATTCAACGTGACACATAAATTAATAATGTTAACGATAGAATTGTTTATCAATAGTATTTTATTGTCGATATCAGATATAGAAAAAAATTAGATATCTACGGAGATTTAATGAAATTGATATGAAGATTAAGTCATCTCGTACATCTAAGCATGGACATGACTTGGACTCGATTTACATTCATTGGTGATTAATAAAGGAATTTCATGGCAAATATAATGAATACATTCTTAAGGTAGAAAACTTGTTTGTCAAGGTAAAAATTTGCTTTTTTTTATTTAATTTAAACTTTTTATCGATTTGGATTTTTTTTATCTCAAACTCATTGTAATTTTGAAATTCTTATCAATATAGAGATTGTTAGTGTTTTTGTGACCCAAAAAACTCACTGTCAACACACCTTTTCGTCATACTAGGATTCAAACTCTTAAAAGTATGATAGAATTTTGTTAGGATTCAAACTCCTAAAAATAGGATAGAGTTCTACTATTATTTAAACTCCTAAAGATATGATCCACAAGCATTATAAATAGTCATTGTAACTCACTATTGTAACACATTAAGAGGAGGATATACGAAATACCAAGCAAAAAATTACAGGTAACTCGTAGCCATTTTTCGAAGCATTTATATTTTGAAAGGTAAAGTTCATACATTCGCATGTTATTTTTCCTTACCCTTGATGTGTTTTGATTTCGAAAGAAAACTGAGAGAAGTGTTTTTGGCCGATGAACGGGGGCGTTTTCGAGATCTATTTTTGTAGATCTAGTCCCCGAGACTTGTGTTTTTTAAAAACTATTCGGATTTTTATAAACGGGTCGTGTGGATCCGCGTGTTTTGTCGTTTTTTTCTTCGTTTGACTTTTAATTTTGACCCCTAATTCATTTTTTATTTTAATTTAACCCTTATTATTTATATGTATATATGTATATATTTAATTATATTTTATTTATTTATTTATTATAATTTTTTTTTATTTTTCTTTGCGTTATATTATATTATTTTCCTATTATATATATATACATATATATATATATATACATATATATATATATATATATATATATATATATATATTTTTTATCTATGTTTACTTATTTACTATGTTTTTTTACTATATTTTCTAACGTTATATATATATTCTTACTTTATTTTATTTTATTTCTATGATTACTATTTTTTTAGTTAATATATATATATTTATTTTTCATTTATTTATTATTATTAATACTATTTAGTATTTTATATTATACATACATTTTTATATTTTTATATATTTTTTTTATTATTTTATTTATACTATTTATTTATTTTCATTATATTTTTAGTTTTTTTGCTCTTATTATTATTTTTCTTTTTTTAAAAAAACACTTTACATTTTTTATTGTTTTTGTATATATATTTTATCTTTATTTATTTTATTTTATTCAATTTCATTTTTTCATCCAATTATTTTATGTTTATTATTATTGGTTTCATTTATTTCCTTGGTTTACTCTTTAGTTTTGTTACTTTCTTTTATTATTATTATTATTTTCTTTTAAAATCTTATTTTTAAGGGTATTTCCGTAAACTCATTAAGGGTAAGTAATTCGGATCAAATTTTACCTTTTAATTTAACTTGCAATTTTCTTAATCAAAGAAAACTGGAAATTACGTAGTACCGAAAGGACGGTTCAAGGGTGCTAATCCTTCCTTGACCGTAACCGACTCCCGAACCCGACACATCTTTGGAAAGACGCAGATCAGGTAAGAAATAGGGTATCCGATCAACCCATTTGTTTTAAATAAATGATCGGTGGCGACTCAAACCATATTTTCCTAAGTTGAAGCCCAATTCCGGGGCCCAACCGAAAGACGGTTGCGACAGCATGGCGACTCCGTTGGGGAGACAGGTAAGTGAGTCATGCTAAGGTAATTTCCCGTTGTCTTTTTAATGAAAAGGGTAAGTTTAAATTTTAAGGTAACATTTCGATCCTTATTACTTACTTTTGATTATATTTTTGAGTAAATAGTTATACTGACCGTTTTTTAATGATTTCAGCCCTTAAAGATTTTTCATCTAAGGCTCTAAACCCGAGCTCCAAACCCTATTTTAAGTGGGGGTGAAAGCGACGCCTTCGTGTGAATTTATTCACCGTGCAGGCCTAGCAAGTAGCCTTCGGGATTCATATGCTTTTATGTCTTCGTATGAATTTATTCACCGTGCGGGCATAAGAGAATGTGTCCCCTCGAGTTTAACTTAGTCCACACAAGCCTGTGATGGGTTTAGGACTAAGGGTCTGGCAAGCCCAAGGGGGCACCGGCAATGAGAACTCGGGTACCGTTTTTAGAACCTAAACTGGGAGACC